TGCTGAACCCTCTCAGTCTGAGCACTCAGTTCTTCTGAAAACAAGGTTTTTAAACTTACGACTAAATATGCTATCATTAGCCAAACACTACAGTTTGGCTAAGTCTTTACCCAGGCAATAAGATAAATTCAGGATCTCCTTATACTTTGGGTAATTCTAGTTACTTTTCAAATGGTATGGTAGTTTGTGTAGTGCTAGCTCAATTGCTTTTGACTGTCCATCAGCATTATTCCCATGAGGAATCTGGCTCTCATACCTCTTTTCTGCTCCCACTGAAATCAATGGCAAAATTTCCTGTGACTTCCTTCAGTAAAAGCAGAAGAGCCAGTAGAGGGAGCACAAATACACAGAAATAATTTTCTGTGGTTCCTATAAAAATGATAATGTGTACTATTTTTTCATATTATTTGCACTACATTTTTTTCCCCCCTGATCAAAAATACTGTCTTGATCAGGCCCCTACAGATGTAGGTAAGGAGGCTCTGTGTTGTTTGGTGGCCCCTCCTGCAGTCCCTGGGACCTCAGGACTCTGTGCAAGAGGCACAGGCTGGACCCTGCGAAACTGATCTTGGCAAAATGATGTTTTCTACCTACATAGCACTGCTGGGCAGACCAGCACAATATGGGGCACATCTTTGGCTCTCGGACATAACTAGAGCTCTGCTGACTGACGATCTCTGCCAGCTGATAGTGGCACATGAGCAGACAGGTTGGGGGAAGCGGTACAATACAGCACGATACGGCTAAACAGTGACTTTCTACCTTGAACCACTCCTAATTCAGCAAGCTGCAGCCTTCAGCAGAAGTTGGTCCCTTTACGTGAGCCTGGTGCCACTAGCTGTGCAGAGAAAGGTCATACCTCTGTCCCCTCTCTGCCCGCTGATACTACTGGCAGACATTGCCTGGAAGAGGTTGCTTTGCTGTATGTAACCACTTGGATGTGAAACATTTTCAAAACAACCCAAAAAGTCACCTTAGAGATCCATTGGCTCTCTACTTATAAATTTGGGGGGAAAAAAAAAAAAAAATCATCAATTTGGAGTTCAGGGGGCCCTGGGTTTCTCAGAAACATATAAATGGCTGCTACCTGCGACTGGAGGTGTAGACAGGACTAGCACACCAAGCACTATGAATGCTAAGCCAAACATTTAAGTGACACTTTTATAAGTATCTTTTTGGTAATCACATTTGATGTCTTTCATCCTCAATTTCCTCTCCTTCAGAGAAAATGGTGGCACTACAATTCTTTGCTCTACAGATGTAGACAAAACTAATGAATTTTTCTCTAGAGTACAATAAAAAGAACTACAGAAATCTTTTTGGACCTCGGTGAACTTGCCACACCCATCCTGAAGTCTGAACTACCTGGTACCTTACACTGAATAATAATTTCCCTAAAAATACTTTGTCTATGCAAATATGCACAATCATATCTGATTTTCCAGTGAAGAAGACTAATGAGTTTTTATATTTTTCTTTGTTTTCTCTGCACGTTCCAAAACATTTCAAACCCCAGTCTACCAGGTGACCACTAACCAAGGAACTGAACTTTATAGGCCAGATGGGCCTCTCCTGTCTCATATTCCTACTGCACTTTCGCTGCAAAAAATTTCTCAGTTGGCCCTATATTGACCTTTAAAAGAAAAAAAATAACAACTGGATAACCCCTAAATAAATTATATAATATGACATTATATTATAACTGTATATATAGTATGCACTAATATACTATGTATGATAGAATTCATCTTTTGTTATAAAAAAATAATAAAGAAGTGGGAGTTTTTAGAAAGGCCATGAGCGAGTCCATGAGGAGTTGAAGATTTCTGCACATCTGTTTTGATAATCGTTCAGGCTACAGACACTTTACCTGCTGGCCTGGTTTGAGCGGCGATAGCGTTATTCCCTGGGTATTGATCACTGGGAGTATCTGGTTGCCGATGACGGTAGCGATGATCTGACCCTGGGCGTTGGTCAGTAACTGTGGAGTTATCGGCTGCACCTGAAGTCCCTGAGCTCCACCTGCCGCCTGGCTGGAGGGGACTGGATTAGGCATCAGTGGGATTGTTCCAATAATCTGGAGAAAATGACATAGAAAGGGAAAATGCACATATGCCGCATATACTTGCCACACATAATTACTTGTTTTATGCGTGTTAAATCAAACTTAGGTGAAATAAGCACAAAGAGACAGATATGACAGTCTGAGGGTAAGAAACAAGAATTCCTTTACTGAGTTGATGAGGACTTTCAAACTCATTTGTCTCATCACATATCACCTGTACGTTTTACCAGGGTCCACTCATCCCCAACATATCTGCTGAGGCTGAGAGTGTATGAAAAAAAATGCTGGGCCACGCTCTGGCCCCTGGATGATGCTTTGTTCCCACCTCTCATTTGAACACAGAGTGAAATAGATGCCAATATCAGTCTGTTTGTCTTGCTTTCTACAACTCATCCGTACAACGTTATTAACTGTGAACTGAGGTGCTTATGTAGTTTTCCTTGATTTACTGATACCTAGTACTCTAGATGACCACCTATTCCTCCCATGCGATCTCAGGGAGGAACAGAGAGATAGTGGTGCCTTTCAGGACGTGGCTTATTAAGATACGTTCATAAAAATGCAGCTGCTTTTGGATGACAACTAAGTAGTACAACACAACGGGAGGGCTGCTGTTAGATAAAACATTTTAGCTAACATTTCTGGGGCAAGTACTTGCAGAAGGAGACATGTGTGACATCTCAGATTTGAGAATACAGTGATTTCCTAAAATGTGAATGTGCCTGTAAAACTAATACTAGGATGGGATGTCAAACAGATACAGTAAGAAAACTTGTCAGTCAATAAGCTGCTAGGTTGAAGAAAGTTACAGTGTTGGAAGACTCTTTATACAAGTATTAGAGCATCTGAAACAAACTTCTGATTAAACTTGTGAATCAAACCAGATTTTTTTTTTCCCAAGCAACAGCAAATGAAGCTAGAGTCATAGGTTTATCACAGGAAAAGTAAAAAAAAAAAAAAAAAAAAAGGCAAAACACATCTCTCTCTCCTTCACCATGTCTCCTCTGACTTTCTCTATCACAGCCCCCCAGAAAACATCTATCCCATTGTAAGGCTCCCAGTCTTCCCTCTCCAGAAGCCTTGCTTCCTCCTCTTTATCCTCAACATCCACCACACTGCATGTCCTTGTGGTCCCCCACCAGCATGATCCCAGTTACCCTGTGTCCCTTATCACATACATTGACTAGTGTAGACCTACTTGGTTGCTGAGAAATAGGGTGGATTATGGCTGAGTTTTCCCTCTTTTTCCTCAGTGGGGATAGTGATAGGGCAGCTTTCCTCAGTCTATCTCCTGATTCTCATTCCATTTAGGAGCTTAATCATCTTTTTAGATCTCTTTATTTCTGATAAATTTTGTTGAAATTGGTCAGCTGTTTCAAAGCCATTAGGTAGGTATGGAGAGATAGATGGATGGAAAGAGGGAGAGAAGGATAGACAACACTAGTCACAAGACTAGTTTCCTCATGAAAACAGGCTAAAGTGTTTCTAATGAAACTTGAAGGCAAATTTGTCTCCAAAACAAGCATATAAAATTCCTATTGATTTCAAAAATTAATTTATATTACATCAATGGGAAGTGTACAATACAGTGTAAAACTAGCTCTAAAATAACTGTTTAGTGAAAACATCAGTGGCTTTGTGGACAGATCACTAAGTTACTTTCTGAGAGTGCAAAACTAGAGCAACAACTCTGAATCTCTTGCTAACGATATAAAAAGGATATATGTATGAACTGTGTTACGAAGAATAGCAGGGATCTGTGAAGACTTCTGCATATTTAACCCACCAGAGGTGATACTCAACAACCCCAGAAAATCCATCCTCAGGAAAGCATCATGCAATGATATCCAGGCATAGCTGGAGGGGCATGAGGCTCTCGTCAGAGGGTCACCCTCTTCCTTCCATTATTAGACTGAGATATGACTCAATCAAGTGACAGCATCCTAATGAGTGACTGCTCCTTCTGCAGTCACAGCCCGATGGTGTGCCTCTAGGTAGGCTCAACTGTGTAGTACAACGTGACAACTTAAACCAACTCCTTGAGTGAAAAGAGTGCACTTGGTCAGCTACGGCAGCTCAGCTAACAAGTGGTAAGCGCTGAAGTCATCATCAGTTTCCCAAACTTGCCCAGTTAGAAGTTTGGGTGGGAAGACCAGAGAACCACAAAGAAAAGCAGAACAGCTCTCCTGTGGGAGGACCTGGTAAAATGGCAAGCCCACCTACTAAGCTGTATTGTAAGAGATGCATATATCAAAACTGTTCAAAACACTGTAAAGATATAATCTAAATTCTCCTTAATGCATTCCTAAAAGGTAGACAGATCAATAAAGATTACTACCCCCATTTTACAGAGCATGAAAGTGAAGTGCAATGGAGCAGATTCAGGCAGAGGCTGTGATTTGGAGAGTTAGCCTTCTAAGCTGGAACTGCCTGCCAGTTTCTCTCTGCAGCTCACAGTACTTTTATATTTTTTTTTTAAGGTGTCCCTAGCTGAACTGCAGCTGCTTTACTGTTCATGTGAGAAGATGGCTGTTCACTGAGGAGGGAGGCATTTATTTACATCATTACCAGATTTCAGAATGTTTTCTAAAATCTGACTTTCGGCATGAATTACATATAACTTCCATGCAGTGCAACATGTAAATTTCTCCCAGTTTTTGGTGACCTAAAATATTTATGGGTCACAAATATATTCTTTCGCTTTTAACGTATCTCACCAAACACAAGGAATAATCCTTCTTAATTTTATCAGCAGAAACATAGCAAAGTCCTCTCCTTCCTTTGCCAAGGATGCGACCTTGGAGTGTCATTACTCCAATGTAACTTTAACTATCAAGGTCCTAATCCCAGCAAAGCAAAAAATGCTGCGCTGGTGTTATCAGTAATAGAAATGTTTGCATTCACATTTAAAATGCATTTCTTGGACTGCAGTTGGATGTTTTATAGAATGACAGTGCTGAAGTGGACAGTTTGTAAGGTCAGAAGCAGAAGGCTATCTATATGTATTAATGTGTGTCACACACCATTCTGTACATGGCATGCTGTACATGCACACAGCCAGAAACGGAGCAGGGAAAACATACGGATGGGAGAGGTGTTCCAGAAGGACAAATGAACAAATGCCCTCGAGGGCGTTCCTGTGGGAGCCAAGGGTAAATCTGAATAGGAAACAGTTTTCCCACTTTGTGAAACTCACCGAGATTTCAAGATTTTTTTTCCATTTTATACCAAAACAAAGTAAAATCTTGTCTGGTTGAAAACATGATGTCCACCTGTCTCTAGTTAACCAACAGGGCTATTGTTTATGGCATGCATCTTTGATATGGCTAGACCCAGATTCAAGTTTCCCCTTTCAAGTTCCCCCTTCTCCAAGTACTCTTTTCCAAATATCCTAACAGCTCCCTGATTCACACCGCATGGCTTTGTATGAATAAGTAAATATTCACTAGGGAGGAGTCCTGAAACTGGATCCCCTCCTCAAGCCCTGTGTGACTGTCCTGATGCTGGGCCAGATCCCTCTTCCTCTAATTTTGTTGACAAAGTCCATCCTGGGCCTTGCCAATCTGTCCTGTTAAAGTATCATAAAAGCTGGCACTTTATGAAGACAATTTAAATTTTCTGAAGGAATGAAATAAGACCATGCCACGGGCTTGAGCCGCTGGTGTGCCACAGTACAGACTATGTAATTGCCAGTGAACTCCCTAGTGGGGAGGCATTGGTCCTTTCTAGCAACTGCTGTTATTGCAGACTATATTCAAGGAAGCTCACGAATAGCATGTGACAGGGACTTATCCCGCAAGATGCTTACAGAATCACACAATCACAGAATGGTTTGGGTTGGAAGGGACCTTTTAAAGATCATCTAGCCCCCCTGCCATGGGCAGGGACACCTTTCGCTAGATCAGGTTGCTTAAAGACTCGTCCAACCTGACCTTGAACGCTTCCAGGGATGGGGCATCCACAACTTCTCCGAGACATAGCAGAGGAGGCTTCTTACTCTGTCAATGTTTGGACTCAAATTCATAAACAATCCCAGCTGCCCAACATGTTCTTGAGAAAATAAACACATCCCTAAAAGTCCTCATGCTACAAGAATACAATTTTTAAAGTTTGGGGTTTTTTTACACTATGCATATGATTTTCACAATTCCTTTTATACCTCATACTACTGAAAGCAAGCACTAAGCGTTCACAGAGGACTTTCAAAACAGGTGTTGTATGCAAAACAACAAACAGACAGTTCTGAAAGTCCAAGGGTTAACTCAAGGGACCCCCTTGTCAATGCTCCATAACCTCAAAGGGAGTCAGGCACAGTAATCTGCAGAGCACTGTTGATTAAAATAAATTACACCTGGTTATATCTGTCTGAGGTACAGGTTACAGATACAGGCACAAAATGTAGTGCAGATGTGACACTGGAAATCCTACCAAGATATTTAATGTAAATTCAGATCTCAGCTTTTTTACAGAGCCAAGGCTTTGGGCCACCTCTAATTAAAACACCAAGACTGTAATTCGGGCCCTGTTCACGCGACGGAGTTTTGCCAGAAGCCTTGGTGGAGTCAGATTTTCACTGCAAATATTCAGTGAGATTCTTTCTTTTTTGTTTATGGATTAATAGATAGAGCAATTGCATCCTGAGATGCTCAGAGAGCAGGTTTTACCGATGTTAATTTAGTTTTTTATGCTTCCCAATTTTAATTAAACTTTAAGAATCAATTATTTGTTTATAACTGCAAAGGAAATTCAGGGTGATCTTTAGGAATATCTGAAAATTCTCCACTGATTCATCTGTTAGTGTCGTTTTAGCATCCTAGGATTTCAAGATATCTGAGATCAGGCCTCTCAAGTCCTACAACCTCAATCTGCCATTGCCAAGACAACTTCCATGATTAAGTGTTATTCATATGAAATAAAGTTGTAAGGCTTGGCTTGCATCTGAAATTAATTTGTTGATCTGCTCCTACATACCATCTGTGGGCTCAGCGGTCTTTGCTTACATAGTCCTGTAA